TTGCGGTGAGCCGCGATCGCGCCATTGCACTCCAGCCTGGGTAACAACAGAAAAATCCCGTCTCAAAAAAAAAAAAAAAAAAAGAAAGTAAATCAAGAGGAGGCTGGGCATGGTGGTTCCCGCCTGTGATCCGAACACTCTGGGAAACTGAGGCGGGCAGATCACTTGAGGTCGGGAATTGGAGACCAGCCTGGCCAACATGGTGAAACCCTGTCTCTACTAAAAATATGAAAATTAGCTGGATGTGGTGGTGCACGCCTGTAATCCCAGCTACTCGGGAGGCTGAGGCATGAGAATTGCTTGCACCCAGGAGGCAGGGATTACAGCGAGCAGAGATTCTACCACTGCACTTCAGCCTGGGCGACAGAGCAAGACTCTTTCTCAAAAACAAAATGAGAAAACCCCAGCAAAACAGAGACTAAATCAAGAGAGAGGTAGGACAGAGAGAGACATGAGAATAATATAAAATATCCAGATATTATTATTACATTACCCATATATATTATTATGGACTATATATTATTTAGGTTTACTTACTTCAACCAAAAGAGGCTTGATGATTGTGTCTTTCTTTCCATATTCAGGGACTGAAGTCACCTCAGTCCCACACAGCTCTTGAGACTCTAGTGCCTCTGCACTCACAGTGAAATTCACATTTCCAAAAAAAAAAAAAAAAAAAAAAAAAAAAAAAACCAATGGAAATGAATACCATCTTTCCCTTCCTCCATGCCTCCAAACTCAAGATTTATAAATGTTCAATGCTCTGTAAACTTTTTTTTTTTTTTTTTGAGACGGAGTTTCGCTCTTGTTACCCAGGCTGGAGTGCAATGGCGCGATCTCGGCTCACCGCAACCTCCGCCTCCTGGGTTCAGGCAATTCTCCTGCCTCAGCCTCCCGAGTAGCTGGGACTACAGGCGTGCGCCACCATGCCCAACTAATTTTTGTATTTTAAGTAGAGACGGGGTTTCACCATGTTGACCAGGATGGTCTCGATCTCTTGACCTCGTGATCCACCCGCCTCGGCCTCCCAAAGTGCTGGGATTACAGGCGTGAGCCACCGCGCCCGGCCTAACTTTTGTTTTATTAAAACACAGAAGCAGGAACAGAGGCGTGCAAATGAGAGGTGCATGATACTGAGAATTCAAGGTGGACATTGATGTTGGGGATATCCTTGTAGGGATCTTAGAATAAAAGGCAAAGGAAAGGCCGGGCGGGGTGGCTCAAGCCTGTAATCCCAGCACTTTGGGAGGCCGAGGCGGGTGGATCACAAGGTCAAGAGATCGAGACCATCCTCGTCAACATGGTGAAACCCCCGTCTCTACTAAAAAAATACAAAAAATTAGCTGTGCATGGTGGCGTGTGCCTGTAATCCCAGCTACTCAGGAGGCTGAGGCAGGAGAATTGCCTGAACCCAAGAGGCGGAGGTTGCGGTGAGCCGAGATCGCGCCATTGCACTCCAGCCTGGGTAACAAGAGCGAAACTCCGTTTCAAAAAAAAAAAAAAAAAAGACAAAGGAAAAAAACTGTGTCCTCTAGTGGTCTTTTCCTGAAGGAAGTGCACTGAATATAAGGTTCCCACTGCCATATACAATCTTTGAGTAGAGAATTATCTCTTGGAGTTTGTTGCTCACCTAATGACTTTGGGGTTATTGCCCAGGACACAGTTTGCCGCCCGTTCACACAGATGCAGTGAGACCCTTGTTCCTTCTCCACTGGGACAGCTAGGAAGGCGGGAGAAGCTTCCAGCTGCACGCTGACCTGAAGCCACACATAAGAAAGAGAGTAGAGGGGGAAGGAGAACAGAGGGCGAATGGGTTTGAGTCAAGCATCTTGAGGAATTGGTTAGATTTCAGGTTGCCTCATGTTAAAGATGATATAAATGAAGATAAAGTACCTGAAATACATGTAAGTGGATCCGACATGTAAATCTGAGTTATTTTGGAAGCAACCTGCTCTTTCATGTGATAGAACCAGAAGAAGTGAAAGGTAATGATGGCATGTTACTCTCCCTCTTTGGCCTGAAACCTCGACCCTCGGATCTCTCAGCAGAGGATACAAGACTTATAAACAGTTACGGTTTCAGCAGAGATAAGATGCTCGCAGATGACTTTTAACATTAGGTGTAATATAATGACAAGATAATATATGAGAACGTAGGAGCTAAGAAAAGTTAAATATATGAGAATGTAGAGGTTGAAACCTTGTAGAATCTGTCATGAGAACAGAGGACTGACTTTTGTCATCCCTGTCAGAATTCTTCATACCACACAAACACTAACTCTGAACGGTTATGAGGAAGGCTAGAACCTTGCTTTATGGTGCAATTTGGTATCTGGAGATATCACAATCTGTAACTTACACAATCGCGAATATCTAGTTAACATATCTTGCATATGAGAGTTTGTCAGTACTCCCAGGAAAGCAACTTTTAATTTACTTGACTGCTACCTTGTGTTTAATTTGGGAAAGAGATCCTTACCCGGATGCATTTGGGAAGGTAGTTTAGGACAGTGGCCTTGAGTGTGAAGACCTCTCCACGGATCACAGAGTAGGGCATTGTGAGCTCCACAAAGAAGGGCTGGAAGGCTCGGAGAGAGGCGGTGGGAGAGATACCAAGTCCAGCGTCTTTGGACAGGCAGAAGGCCCCTGCCTTCCACTCGGTGATGGTGTCTGGGACGGTTACTCCTACCTCAGCCACACCTGATGAGCTGAGGAGGGAGGCAAGTGAAGAACAGAAAATAGGTAAATACACCTTTTCTAGGGAGAGAAATGTCATGGCTTAAAAGCACTCAAGAGAAATATCAATAATGGAGAATATAATTAAGGATTGAGATGGGGAATATAAAGCCTTTTCTTACAACTGTTTTAAATTATAGTATATCAGAACTGTCGCATAATCTTATACAGACAATATAGTTATAAATTGAATATGCAATTTGAGGTTGCTCTTAAGTTCTCTTTTCTAAAATGCTATTCCACTGAGGGCTGCTTTATAATTTTAAATTCTACTACTGTCGTGTATAGTGGACCTGACTGAATCTGTATTTACCTCAGGATTGCTAACCAATGAAGGATCTCCTACAGGCGTTAATCTGTGCAGAACTTGGTTATATTCGGTCCTTATGCGCATTTTCTGGAAATCTTAGAATTAAATTTGCACAAAATTTTTTAGCTCTGATGCAATTAGGTTAGTGAGACTTCTTAGGTCTTAAGTATTTATGTTACACATCTTCTGAAATTAGCAATGTATTTGAAAGGAGTACTTCAGTACTAAAAGATTAGCTAACAGCTCCCAGTTTCTCCCTGCAAGGGCTTTGTCTACTCACTTTCTCAGTTGCTGACTGAGTGTTAGGTTTCTAACTAGCCTGCCCTGGGAAACAGAAGGGGCAGGGATACCTTACAGAGAGACTGAAAGGCAGTATGGGCACTTCCCCTGCCTCCTTCCCCTGGCTTGCCCCACAGATAAAACCAGGTCTCCAACATACCCCTGGGAATAATTTGTCTATGCATCAACCACCCAATGTTACAGCTCCTACCTAAGGGGTCTGGCTCCTAAATCACCTAGCTCCAGGAGTAGAGGGAGCTCTGCATTCAGGAGTCTCCCTAGACCACGGCGAACAAGGAGGTGGTTTTAAATAAGCCTGTGAGCAATGCCGGCAGTGACACCCCTAGCTCAATACAGAGAGAACAGGCAAAATCTCCCAGCTTCCAGTCTTTCTCTGGAGGGAGTTTGTCTACACACTTTTCCGGTTGCCATCTAAGGGTTGAGCTTCTAAACAGCCTGCATCTGGGAGTGAAAAGGACAGGTAAACAAGACTTCAGGAGCCTGAACATGGCCCTTCTCGCTCCTGCTCCCCACCTGCCCTGCTGACTTGTTTCACGGATAAAACTCCATTTCCAGTCTCCCTCTGGAAGGAGTCTGTTCACTCTCCTTGGTGCAAATGTACATTGCCACAGCCATTATGGAAAACAGTATGGAGATTCCTCAAAAATTTTAAAATGGAAACTACCATATGTCCCAGAAATCGCTCTTCAGGCTATACACCCAAAGGAAATGAAATAAGCCCCTTGTAGAGATGTATGTGTTTTGGTGTTCAATGCGGCATTATTCACAGTTGCCAAGAAATAAAAATAACCTAAGTGTCTGGGCAAATGGATAGGTAAGTTGTGGCTATGCATAACGCAATATCATTCAGCCTGAAGTGGAAGAAGAACCTACCATTTGTGACAACATGGATGAACCTGGAGGACATTATGCTAAGTGAAATGAGCCAGGCACAGGACAAACACTGCACAATCGCACTAGTATGTGGATGCTAAAAGAAGTTGAATACATAGGAACAGAGTAGAGCAGTGCTTGGGGTTGCAGGGATGGGGAGAAGCAGGTCAAAGGGTACAAAGTTGAAGTTCTGTAGGATGAATAAATTTAGAAATCTAACGTACCGCATGAGGACTCTAGGTGATAATATTGTATTGGATACTGAAGCCTGGCTAATAGGATAGATTTTAGGTGCACCTGCCACACACACAGAAACAGGCAACAATGTTAGGCGATGGATGTGTTAATTTGCTTGGCTGTAGTAGTCAGTCCACTATGCATATGTGTATATATCTCAAAAATCGTGTTGTTCATCATGAACATATAAAACAATAAACACAGAAAAACTAGCCAAGAATTAAAAACAGTGAGGGATACTTTGCCTATTGCATATGCAGGACATTACTTACTTCACCACCACCAAATCCCAGATCCACGTCTCAGGGAAGTACTTTCGTATGGTCTCTGTGGGAGGAGGCTCTTCAACACGCATCATGAGTGCATGGCCTCTTCGCATTACCTCTGAGTCTATGGTGGGTGAAGGAGAAGACAGGGCAATAAACTTACAGATAAAACTTACCAGAGACTGTCACACTTGGCACCAAAAAATCAAATAGTCTGATGAAATAGAGAGGAACACGGAGAGGGCACTTGGGTCATCGGGGAAAGCTTCTTTGAGGAGGAAATAGGTTGGACGAATTATGAAGTATTAGAATACCTAGGAGTGAGCTGGGGGAGGAGGAGCATAAGCACAGGCTATAGAGACTTTGCTTGGATTGTCTGTGGGGCAGAAGGACTCTGGAGTCCTGTGAGGCTGCTGCTACCATGCTAAGTGAGAGTGCTATGACACAGGGCCGTGAATAGGGCGGGAATCCAAGTTTGCGTTGGTGTGTTCCTCTGCAGGAGCAAAGAAAACCTGACATAGACGTTATGACAGTGGCTTTGAGAAACAGTTTACAGGAGGGAAAAGTTCAGTGATCATACAGACTCTTTATTCTCTGTCCTGTCAGAAGACGACAGTTTCTTTCACTCTGTTCACCTTCTACTAAGGTGTACTGGTAAATATTTCACAACCAGCTCTCTGGGGAAAAAATACACCTATTTTTACACACCTATTCATGCACAAATTTACTATAAATCTTACTGATAAAGGATTATACAATATAATTTATAAATCATAAAATATGCAACAGATTTTATAGTAAATTCCATAGAGCCAATTGATTTCTCCCCAAATGCTTTCCTTGATTTTGATCCTCTTTTCTCTGTATTCAACTTATCCTCAATCATGATTTGACAACATGGGACTATAAATAAATGCTTGATTACTATTCAGTTCATGAAAGAAGTAGCTCATGTCACTGATGAATGTGTGTGGTTCCAACATAAATAATGGCTGATGTTTTGGGGAAGTTGAACAGCTTTTTTACCTGACTGATTGAGAATGTAGCAGTGTTTTGTGAACGTTTTTATTTCTGTTTACACTAACCCTATGCTTGGAAACTCTTTCCTTTTCAGCCCAACACATCAATTTCCATTTACTAGAATTTGAGTTTATATTGCTATGTGACCTTGAGCGATAATCTTAATATGTATGACTCACAAGTCCTTTTGTTGTGTTAATTTTTGTTACATTGTATCTTTAAAAAATTTAAAATTTGGTTAATATATTAGGTAATACATATTAATTAATCTTTTGTTTACCATAAGGTGCGCTTCGTAGATCTTCTGGTGCATACATCCCAAGTGGTTCAGGTTGTAGACATATGTTAGGTTTATGAATCTTTGAGTTGGTCAATGCCTTTAAGCCCATGTCCTGCAAAGGAAATTATCATCTAATCAGTAAATATATATTATAAAATACACATAGGCACATACTTCTTTTCATTCAATTTGACAAACAATCCAGTTAACTTAATATTAAACATTTAATGTTCACATCTGTAGAAGGGATATTCATACACTTAAGGAGGTAATTTTATTCTTTTCATTAAACTTTTTCAACAGTAATTATTTTGCATATGTGATATTTATAAACATCGCAGAGAATTTACTTTCTGTGAAAAAAGAAAACGACTAACACTCCAAGAAGCTCCAGTTTAGTTCAGTACCTTTCAGCAGATCCGCTATTAGTGGGAAAACCACTTACTCTTCATATCCTATCACCATCAACCATGACATGATGGCACTCAGATAAATACTCTTTTCCATGTATACTATTTTAAGAGTAAGAACAGACCATCTACAACATAAGGCATTTACCTTTAGGAAGCTATACATATCCTTTTCATTTGTATTCGATACTGGAGAATATGTGATTCCATTAATAAATACATTGTGACGATTGATGCAGTCTCCATCGTCACGGTCATTCAAATACTGAGGGAAGCCAGTGAGGTCCTTTACTGGTAGCAGGTTATAAACCTGTACAAATACAAAAGACAATAAACTTCTTCGTGGTTTTTTTTGAGTTCAAGGAGAAAAGAACAGGAATAAGGAACATCAGTTTTTCTTTGAGTGCTCTCATTGCTTTGACGATTTATAAGAGAGGATATGGGTCATTTTCTTGACACAGTGTTTCCATTTTGAAGATGTTGAACAATTTTAGGAAAAACACAAAATACTCCATCTAAGTACTCAAGGGTCATGTTGCTTCATTACACAGTTCAGCGGCCACCACTAGACTCAACACTAGAATGAAATAAAATTTTTTTAATTGAAAAATTGAGGTCTGTTCTATTTGTGACATTGCACAAAGCTTTGAGATGATAGAAGGAAATGACAGTTTTGTGTTTATCTTGTGGCAAGCAACTGACTCAGTGTATAACAAAGTTAATGAATGCATGTTCTAAACAGGCACATGAACAGACATATCCTCTCTCCACAGGACACAATGGCATTTTATTTATTTATTTATTTATTGAGATGGAGTCTAGCTCTTTCACACAGGCTGGAGTGCACAATCTCGGCTCACTGCAACCTCTGCTTCCCGAATTCAAGCGATTCTCCTGCTTCAGCCTCCTGAGTAGCTGGGACTACAGGCGTGTGCCACCATGCCCGGCTAATTTTTGTATTTTTAGTAGAGACAGAGTTTCACCGTGTTAGCCAGAGGGTCTTGATCTCCTGACCTTGTGATCCACCCACCCTGGCCTCCTAAAGTGCTGGGGTTACAGGCGTAAGCCACCACACCCTACCCATGATGGCATTTTCTTAGGTATTATCAGTGGAAACAGAATGCTCCAGATCTTCATATTGATACATAAAACTTTAACTGTAAAATTCTAGGCATGATGCTTTCAAGTCTGTTTGAAGGAGAGAAGACAGATATAAAAATTGTAACAGTCACATTGCATTATGTTTCTAGGAGTTTAAAACTGATTGACAAGAACAGACGAGCACAGTGAGTAGTGTGATGAAATTAACACTTTCTCAAAGTATCTTAACATCTCTCACTTTCTCTCTCCACTTTATTTTTCTCAATGGCATATTCCATAATTATTGTGTCTCATCTATGAGAATGTAAGTTCCATGAGACATAAATTTTTATCTTTCCAGTAGCTTACTGCTTGATCCCTAGCACTTAGGATAATGCCTAGAACACAGCGGGCATTAAATGTGTTGAATGAATGACCTACACTAGTAGCAGCAAAGTGCCACTGTAAATCACTAATCAAAGGTTGAGAAGAGCTGTTGTTTTAACTCAGGTCTTCTCATACATACCTGAACGTCTGCTTTATTATTAATAAATAGATTTGTCTGTTTTATCTACCCATCAGGGTTGTTATAACTTTAAAAATCCTTTGAGAATTATAAAATTATGTCATAAAAATGTAAAACATTTATATTATTTTCCCACAGATCCGCTTGAGATCCTACTGTTGAAATGTACTTAATGCTTCCTTTAGAAGTAGTCTATTTTCAGTTAAAATCCCATTAGAAGGACAAACCAATAAGAAATATTTTCTTATAAGTTTCTATTTCAGGAAAATAAAAATATAAATTTCTCTTTGTTAAATTATGGTAGTAGAAAAAACTTCACTAAGAGGTTAGCATAATTGGTCTCATATTAAACATTTGAAGATGTGTGCCAACTACTGTTAGTACATGCTGTTAACTAGCTTTTGTTGTTCCAATTCACCATACCCTTTTGCTATGTCTTCTATTAGCTCCATATTTTCAGAGTTCAATTATCAATGTTAATTATATAGTAATTCATTTTTCTTGAGTTTTGTTCCTCAGAGATGATATATACGTTCCCTCAGAAATTATGTGCAGCTTGGGACAGCAATTATTTCAACTGACATAATTTTTCCTTTTCTTTTTTTGAGACTGGAGTCTCACTCTGTCACTCAGGTTGGAGTGCAGTGGCGTGATCTCGGCTCACACAACCTCCGCCTCCCGGGTTCAAGCGATTTTCCTGCCTCAGTCTCCTGAGTAGCTGGGATGACAGGTGCCCACTACCACGCCTGGCTAATTTTTGTATTTTTTGTAGAGATGGGATTTCACCATGTTGGCCAGGCTGGTCTTGAACTCCTGACCTCAAGTGATCTGCCCGCTGCAGTCCACCAAAGTGCCGGGATTACAGGCATGAACCACCACACCCTGCCATAATTCTTACAAAAACAGAAATTTGTTATTTCATTTAGTCTGTGTAGTCTTAGTGCAAGTACATGTATCACTTTTGTTAGACTTTTTGAAATGCTGAAACTAGTTTGAAAACTCCTATTATTGGTTGCTTGGAGCTCTGGAATTTTAAGGACTTTGGGTAGGGCAAGGTCTTTTTGCATTTAAATATATAATTTCCGAATGGCTTCTCTGATTGCTCAGTTAATCCTTTCTTTTAATTTGCATAACTGCACTTCTCTTATAGCAGTTTTCACAATCTGCTCTGCATTCTCTCCAGCCTTGCGTATATGAATGTCTTGACACAATCAGAAGATTTGAGTTTGTATTGCTATGTGCTCATGAGCAAGAAGCTTAACATATCTGAATAACAAGTCCCTTTTTGATTGTTAATTTTCATTATATTTTGTCTTTTCAAAAAATTCTATTTGGTTCAATATACTGCATTAAGTGATGCGTTTTTATTTGATTTTTTTCCTCTAGAAGCGAGTTTTTTATATATAGATAAAATGCCTTACCAATGAAAGCCCACAAGAGAGATCAAAACTATTAATTCCTAAACATTTTAATTGACCTTATCCTACTCAGACAGGCGTTTTTCCTTGCTGTAAGCCCCTGGCACGGCTGTTCTCGATTCCTGAGGCTGCCGGGAACTCACCGAGGATGTGGAGAGCTCAGAGTCAGGATTCATGAGCAGCACGCTTTGGTCCACAGCCCGGAGGGCGCAGGCGGACTGAGGAGCAGCGGTGACTCGCAGGTGGGCCTGTGAGGCTGGGAGACTTTGTGATGGGTCGAAGCTCAAATGCACCTGTGAAATTGGAACAAGAGGTCAGAAAAGCAAACTTCCTAGCTTACCCACGCACTCCTTCGCATTTGCTGAGCGTTCCTCACGTTCAACATATTACCATTCTGCTTGACTTCGTGGAGGGTTGGCATTATGTCAGTCCTGAAGCTTTCTGTCCCCTACACTTCTCTTTCATTCTCAAGAATCATTTGAGCCATTAGAATTATTTCCAATTATTCTTGTAAATTACTAATCGTGAAATGTCATATTTATCTTTGGTATGTGGCAAGGTGCTTATTAATCGTGGTGGAACGTGCGCGGGTCTAGGTGCTCTGCATTTTTCTTTTGGCTCCTTAGTAGTCTTAAAAACTTGCTTACATATTTCCCAAGATTTTATCATAGAAGGGAATAACGTACTCCGAACTGTGTATCTGGTAGGAGGCAATGTGCTAGGGGAAGTGTGACAGTTTTGCACTAAGAATCAAGTGAGACTCTGCCACTACCTTGCTGAATGTCTCTGGGGAATTTATTTAACCCTTTTGGCCCCAATGCCCGCATGTATAAAACAAATAAAAAACAATAGTTACTTCTAGTTTTAAATGTTGAAGATTTTATGACCTAAAGCACCCACCTTGTTGGCCAGACAATTTTCAACCTTATACTTTGCAGAATCCCCGATCATGTCCCCAGTAGGTAAAATCGCATAGATGAGCAACCGAGAGACAGGGGCAAAGTCTGACTTCACAGGGATTGAGATGGAAAAATGGCCGTTCACTGGGGCACAAGGAGAATGAGAGGAAGCAATCATAGGTTAGACATCTCCCCAGGGCTGATAGAAAATTAGTCTGTCACACAAACCCATTAGGAGCCTGGTCTGGTTAATGACTATTTCCATTAGTAGGTGTAATAGACATAATAAACAGTAGATGTAACAAATGAATGAGTACCTCTAAGGACTCTAGCTTTAGAAAAACCTAATCAAAGCCCTCTCTTCTCTCATAAATGGTATACTATATTGATTTTTCAGCAGCTTCAAGGTTCGGCTCACCTACATAAGGTTCTGATGCCAGTTAAGGGTGTGGAGACATTCAGTTCACTACCATTTGTTCTAGGCCTCATACTAGAAGAGGGAAATAGAACCTGAAGTTATGAGATGAAACAGAAAGAGTAACACATTGTATTCATGCTACATCCTCTTTAACCTTCTGTGAGCCAATACTTGATTCTTTCTCTGTAAGAGAAACACCATGCTCCTTTAGGAGATATTTTTTGAAGCCTATGTAGATTCCCTAGAGGTTGCATTAAACTTCTCTCAGTCTGCCATGGTGCTTCTGTGTTGCTACAAGAGCTAATGAAAGAGGAGACTACTGATAGCTTTCTAGCAAGTTATCTTTTAGAGTCTACTAGACTAGGAGCAACCTTCAAAGGCTTATATCATGACATCGAGAGTTCAGTTCGGTGGTGAAGTACCCAATTTAATGCTTCATAAATCGTAACTATCTTGAAAGGGAAAAAATTTATAATAACATAAATGACATAAATGACTCAGCACAAGACCTGGTATATATCTACAACATATCCTGAAACCTTACATTTTCTCCACCCTGTTCTCTAACACAATTCTCATTTTGAGAAGAGATTCAAGAATATTTACAGTTTGAAAATTTGGGATAAGCATAGGTTATACACTGCAATGTTTTATGCATTTTGTTTTTTTTTTCCTTTTTATTTCTTATTTATTTATTTACTTTTATAGAGATGGGGTCTCACTATGTTGACCAGGCTGGTCTTAAACTCCTGACCTCAAGAGAGCCTCCCATCTTATTCTCCCAAAGTACTGGGATTACAGGCGTGAGCCACCACACTGGCCCACACCAACATTTTAAATAACGCAAAGAGAATAGGCTGAAAAAAAAGACAACAAATATTTGATAAAGGGTGAGAAAAAATTATTGTTTTCCCTCCCTCAACTTTCTTTTTATTGATATTAGATGGACATGGTCTCTTGTTACTTGAGAGTATTCCTGATATTTCCACCTCCGGAATGGAAAAGCAAACATCGTATGTTCTCACTCGTTAAGTAGGAGCTAAGCTATTAGGAAGTGAGAACTAAGCTATTAGGAAGTG